AAGCTTGCAGAGCTGAAGCTTTGTGATCGCTCGACTTTGATATCGTCTGGGCGCCGGATTTCTCGGCGGCGTTTATTGTCCATTCCAATACAATGTGACCGCTGAGAGGTTCACTCATTGTAAGCTTGATCTTGACGTGACATGTCTGAAGTCACTTTTGTGTCTCGTTTCCAGGGTCATGTCCAAGAGGTCAAATACTTTCCTCCTCAGCGTTCCTTGCTCAGTAGCATATTTGCATTATGCTATTTCACATGTACATGATGTACTCAAGCTACCGCTTGTGTATGTGTGTTTCATGCTTTAACAGATCATTACAATCGAACCTGGGAGAATCGGACATTTGTGCAAACCATTGATGATATGACTATCATCATCAGAGGCTCCACCTCAGTGAACCAGGCACCAGCAATAGACCTCCATGTGCCTGCCTCCCTGAGCAGGCTTTTATGTTTTTTTTTTTCGAGGCGTAACCGAATTACGGCTTTTTTCGGATCTCTCTCCAGAGCACTCCATGTGCACAGCACTCTGTGAAGGTGGCCTTGGCTCCGTTCGAGTCGAGAGCAGCAGAGCAGGAGCATCATACTAAGCGCCGCGAGATCGGTGAAGCCCGCGGCGCCCGCGTACGTGACGTCACCTGCCAGCCAGTGCCGGCTCCCAGGGGCCGTGCGCACCAAAGACAAACATTGATGCTCCGGCCGAGCCTTTACCACACCACTGAACTCGGAAACTTCCGTCATGGGCGCTCCGGCAAATCGTGAATGGTGTTTCAAGATGGCGCAACCCCATCATGGACGTCCTCAAGAGCCATCATGAGCCACTGCAGATGGCATGCACGATGAAACGGTCTCTTCTGTAGCACAACTATTTTCAAATGGTGTGCCACCAAAGATGAATTTATAAGTAAGCGTGAATTCCGGCTGTTCACATGGGCTGAACTTAATGTTCGGAAATGATCTCCGATTTGAGCGATTGGGCCCGAACGCATGTTCACGCTCGCTACTCGCCACATATTCGTGCATGTACTCAATAAGGCTGGCATACGCACTGTCCCGCACTCATGCCAAGCTGTTGGCAAATGACGGGAGGCGAAGCTCCGTTAGATGGCTGACGCGTGGCCGGGCGGCCGCCATCAGATCCTCCACTCATAGAAAGCTTTATCTGTTAAACTATAAATCAAAAAGCTTCATTATATTTCAATATTGAAATATATTCAAAGGGGTTTTCTGGTGATTTGAACCCCACGTCCGGGGATGGGACGCAGGGCGAGACAAACATTGCGGGATGGGAAGGGTACGCAAAGTTTTACGCGTACTGAGTGAGCAGAATCACCACTTCCAAACTGCAACAAGCCGAAGCGGTGAGAATACAGACGTCCCCCCACGGTGGTGACGCCTGCGGTGGTATACTGTACCGGGGGACAGCTGCCACTGGCGGAACAGCGTCGTGCCGCGGCTCGCCCAACACTCTTCCGTGTCGGTAACGCTCTCCGTGTAGCCTTGTATGTGGAACACGGAAGAAACCAGGACGTAGCAGCGGGCATACAGGTGTGCTGTATATTGGCTTCTGAATCCGTATACAATTTGCCCATTGGGAGGTCTGACGAGCGTTTATTTGCCCATGGAATTTCGCATCAATAAGTCAGTGGAATCTTTCACTTGAAAATGCACCACTTCCGCACTGTGTCAGTCAAGTCAATTTATTAAGGAATTTACAATATGAAGCATTACACAGAGAGCCAAAACATTATGAAAAGATATTTAAAAAGTATCGTTAAAAATCGTAACACACCGTACGGTATAACATTTCTCAGCACAGCCGAGCTTGCTGAAGAATTGATGCATTGTCCAAGAGTTAGCGATAGCCTGCAGCAGACAGTCCAAGGCAGGAGAGCAAGCAAAGGGAAGGGGCACAGGGGGAAGTGCGCCCCCTGAATCGATAAGGGCCTATATGTCGGTCAGACACCATCAGTAACCCACAGTCGGCTCCGTGCCGGCCTGGGCCTGAGGGCCCGTTTTCCAGGCAGGTAGAAAGCCGGAGCCAGCGATTTACACGCGCACACGGGGACGAGCCTCCAAATAACATCGCGCTTGCGTTGGTCGGGACCCTCCGACAATGAAAGAAAACATGAGAACTTATGATGACTGTTGACCTTGAGACAATGGAAGCGTCCTGCGCCAGTGAGGATTCTCAGTAGCGAACGCTGGGCCATCCAACCCATTTCCAGGGCCCGTCAAGCCGGCGGGAGTCTATGTGGTAGTTAGTGGACCATCTGCAGCGATCAGGGGTGTTGTTGCACCAGTGAGGGCTCCTGCGTCGATCCGGGGTCAACTGCGCGGGTCAGAAGGCCTCCCGCGTCAGGGAGAGGACAAATTTGATATGATGCATCCCTCTAAAGACCTCCGTATTGGCCAGGGGGTTCCGTCCCGTGTCGCCAGAATGACAGCCGGAGGACATCCTGCGGTGGGACGGGTTGGCCTTTCAGTCCTGGATCGGGAACAATAATGAGCCGCTAGTGCTTACACACTTTACACCCTTTCTCGGAAACAAATACTGGGCTTATAAGTGTTTAACTGAGGGGCAAAAACGAGTTCAAAAACGAACAACGTCATCCCAGTGTTTGTCTGAGAACGTTTAATCTTTTACAGAATCGACTTGTGAAACAAGCTACATCAAAAGGTTTGAGCCTGTGCGGCCGCAATCTCGTGAGAAAGTGCGGCGATGGCCTGGGTAGCAGCTTCTATAAAACCGAACACCGTTGGCCACTGCAAGTAACATCAGGCGGCGGGAGTCGTGCGCGCGAGAATGACCGCCGTAAAATGATGGTTCCGAATGTCTTTCAACATGAATTCGCAATTTTTAAAGATCAGTCTGAGCGCATCGTTTTTGCAACTTTAAGGTTGTTCTCTGGACAGAGTAACGGTAACAGCAACACTGAAGAATAGAAATGTTATCTTCACTCTTCCAGCTCCACCACCGGATTCCAGCACTACTTCGCGGGGCTGTAAAGGCCAGTCCGCTCCTATCATCAATCTAAAAATCGCACAGGTGAAAGATGTGCCCGGACTACCTTATAAACGTACGATTTGATGTCATAAAGCGTTTAAGGATACGTCTTTTGAATGCGTCATCATTCTCGTCCACCCGGCGGCAGCGGTTCTGTGTTAACCGCGGGGCCGACGCTGCACAACCCATGGAGGCTGCAATGCCTGGCGTCGGTGTTTTTGTTGCTAAGATTTGGAAGCGCGCACGCTTAAAACCACGTGACGTAATTTGTATCACTTATTGATTCTGAACGAATGTTGATAATTTCCAGACAAACATGCTTAGCAATGCTGCCACAAATTGTTGACCCATTCCGATCTATATCCCCGGGGTCCTTCGTACATTTGAACAGCCCAGATACAAATTCTGATAAAGCATCTAAGTTTATCAGTTTAAAAGTGTCCAGTTGACCATCGTAAAATGAAGAGCATCGGTTATCTATTTCGTGCAGTCCTCTGAGACATACTTCTTCAGTTTATTGACTAGAAAATCAGGCATCGCGCTTCGTTAACAAATGGACTTATATCCCGCAATTTTTTAACGCGGGCGCTTTATTATAAGAAGGGCCTTAGTCAACTCTGTGCTCCCCCCCCCCCCCCCTTCTTTGCCAACGCTTTTTGCTGGGCGCCTAGCTCCATGGTGAGGCTGCGCGCGGAATGAACTCACGCGGAGAGACAATGGCAGACGAAGAGCTGGCAGCTGTAGCATGCCTGCCGCCGCCGCCTGTTGCGCTGTGACGCAGCAGCACGTGTGGTGAACAACGAGCGGAATACTTCAGGAGCACGCCGATCGCTCAGAGCCCTGAACTCTCCGATGCTGGCGCGATGGCTGACAAGGTCACGCAAGCCGCACCAATCCAAGCAGGTCGACGGTCAGTGAGATACGACCATAAACACGCGCCCCCGAGACAGGCTCGGCCCCGAAGTTCGCCATTTGCTGCAGCCTGTGCATATTACACGCAGCAGCCCTACCCCAGACTGAGAGGCAGTACAGCGCGTTTAGAAAACGTCGCGTTATACTGGGATCATCGAGCCGTGGACCTGACCTGGTGTCTAGAGCTGTGCAAACAGAAAGCGTGGAATTACACTTTTCGGGTCTGTTGGACGTGTGCTCTTCCTATGAAAGGAAAAAGGTTGTTAAGATGCTGAGAGTATTTGGCCGACTGGGGATAGCTGGGGGACACCGTGGAACAGCGGCAGATATAGGGAACCACCTCCCACCACCTGCCGCCGGTCAGTCAAGTAGCTCTCGAACCATACGGGGTCGATTCCGTATCATTTTAACTTGGTCAGGACACGATGGTTAACCCTGCTAAAGGCGCGACTTGAGTCAATTCACGCAACGGCAACAACGTCTTTACCGTCCATTCGGTGCGCGATCCACTGGACAGCGTCGACCACGGTGTCTTCCGTCAAATGGTTTTGCCGGTGTGAGTACTGTGATTGCGCGAGCATACTGAATGCGGTGAGATATGAGGACAGTTCAGAGCACACAGTTTTTTCCACAAAGCTTGGATACCACCGACAAGATGGAGGTGGGTCGAAAATTACTGGGCTCATCGCGACATTCTCTTTACGAAGGGGAGCGACGGTCGCAAGCTTCCTTAAGCAGTGGGGAACACACTCGAGATTATCCATGAATTGGCCATAGCAAATGAGGTCCTGGGACGGGAAAGCACTGGCGAATGATATGCATCGGTATGTTCTCACTCCCAACTGCCCTTGAGGAGAATATCTTTTTGATGTATAAAAGCTATCCATTTAGTTGTGTACTGCAATTACAAACAGTCCATAGCCTGAAAAGTGTTCACGCGGCACAGACTTCGGCGGCCGTGATTTGAGACCGGTATCAGCAGCGAGCGTTCTGTTCGCGTCTACCTCAGTGCCCCCCCCCCCCCCCCCCCCCCACTATCCGCCGGGGAACGAGCCACGAGGCTGACCGGCAAGCATTTTTGGCAGGTCGCGTGACGCACGTGGTGGGCGTGGCCGGCCGCCGGGTGGACCTGCCCTGTGACACCACCACCGTCGACCCGGAGGACCGGGCAGTGCTGGTGCTCTGGTACAAGAACAGCCAGGGCAAGCCCACATACAGGTGAGGCAGCCGCCGCTGACCGCGCGCTTCTTCAGGAGGCGGGGAGGTCCGTGCGGACACAGCTATATTGGCAGGGAACGGACTCACAGTGAACGTAGCTAGCGTATTAACAATGTTCCCGATCCACATACTCTTCGTTTTTGTCATCACAGCAAGCGCATTCAAAGCTCTGAATCGTGACGGTTGGCCGCTCATGCCATTACAAAGGTTTTCTGCTGCCTATAGGTACTTCGTGATAGTGGCATTTGCCTTTTCCGGCATGGCACTGTCAGTTGTCAACTGCTCGCCGTCTGCTGTCCGCTGTCCACTGTTGCTGTTCACCGTTTGCTGTCTGCTGTCTGCTGTCTGCTGTTTTCTGTCCGCTGTCCGCTGTCCGCTGTTGCTGTTTACCGTCTGCCGTGTGCTGTCTGCGGTCAGCTGTTGATGTTGATGTTCACCGGTTGATGTCTGCTGTAGCTGTCCGCTGTTGCAGTTCACCATCTGCCGTGCGCTGTTCGCCGTGCGCTGTTGTTCACCCGTGCAACAGCGGTGAACTCTGTCCACTGTCCGCTGTCCTAGCTGAGCCGCCACCGCCGCCGTCTGCCGCAGTTTCGACGCTCGCGGAGGCCTGTCGTTTTCGGGGCAGTCGGCCGGGTCGGACTCGCGCGCCACCTTCGTCAGCCGGGCCCGGCCGCCGGCGCTGCGGCTGGCGGCGGTGCAGCCCGCGGACGCCGCCCTGTACCGCTGCAGGGTCGACTTCACCTTCAGTCCGACCCGCAACCAGCGGGTCAACCTCACCGTCATCAGTGAGTGCTTCACCTCCCGATTTTGTGCCCGCTGGGCGCAGGCCTACGCCAGCGAGGTCGCGTGTCCCCGAACTCTCCAGGTCGGGGAGTGAAATCAAGCCTGGGATGTCGTGGAACAGCAGCAGCGGACGAACCGGCCGTTTTGTTGATGCTCACTGTCCAGCGTCAGTAGCCGTGTAAGTGTGAGGTCAGCGTGAGTGTTGTACAAGGGTTGTGATACGGCATCGATTTTACAACTGTGCTCTGTAAATTAGCAAGCAAAACACACTTTCATTCACCGGGGCCAGCGGCTGGACATTTATTGGACTACACACGAACATAGCGGAACTGTTGACATGAATTATGTTCAGGAATTATGTTAAGCGGCACCATAGATTACTGTCGGTAGCAGACCCCCTCAGGTGTTGCCAGATCATCCTCTGCGAATGGATTGGTCGCACCAGGCTCCGCTGGCGGCAATGGATGGGTCGCGCTCGGGTATTGGCCTGAAATTGTACTGTTGCCTGAGCACCGCGGGTTTCTACACATGTAATGAGCACCAGCGAAGTGTAATGTGTATCACGCTGTGAAACTCCTCGATTCAGTGATACAAAGATTTTGATCTGTGATGAAACAGGTAGAGGTGGGAGACATGGTAATTAGCTAATTATGTTGCGGCTTTGTGGTGTCTGTTGACACGACTGCAAGTGCTTCATGTGCGCCAATTTTGCTAGCATTTCTTTTTGCATCAGAAGCGACTGCAGGTATTTGCATATACAGTAGCATGTATACACGGTAGCCTGAATATCGCATGTCAAAGCTACTGTGTGCTCGTGTTGGCGTGTCACTGAACGCTGCTGCCCGGCAGTGCCGCCCGACCGACCGGTGATCCTCTACAATGGTCGTCCGGTGTCGGGCCTGGTGGGGCCGCTGCAAGAGGGAGACCCGCTGGAGCTGACGTGCCTCTCTCGTGGAGGTGAGCTGGCCGCTGATGCTCAGCCGTCTCTTCAAGAGCACCAACAATACGCAGCACAATTTTCCGCGCGACGACGGCTGAATGAGCGCGCTGGCGTGGCTATTTGCCGATGGGGCACACGGCTTCTCTCCTCGGCAACTTCATGCGTAACGTAGCAATTACAGGCTCCCCCATTTACCCGTCTTCTGTTGGTCGAAATGACCCATGACGCGGGCACGTCCGACTAATGGCTGCCCGCGTCACCTTATTGTCGGTCATTTCTTACCATTGCCGGACATTAAGCCAATAACATCCTTCGACATGGACAGTCAGCAGTCCCATTTGGACTCGGCCCGACTGCTCACAGCCCTCTGTCCGGTCTGTTACTCTCTGACGTGACGCTCTGATCCCCACAACACGCAGAACCGTCCGCCAACGTCGCCAAATGGAACACCGACATCAAATTACGGGCAACGACCGCGCCGACTGCGTAAAACGGACTGGTGTGCCGTGCAGCGGCTCTCCACACCCCGCTAAGTGTCGGGCCGCTTTATCAAACCGCCTGGAGCCGCTGGAATCGCTGAGTGCCCCGAGTAGTGTATGTGGAAGGCGTCGTCCTGCTGCGCGCCACCGCTCCCGGTGTGGGGGCAGCCAGAGGGGAGGGTAGGGGGGAGGGAAGACCGAAAGTGGGGCCTGAGACTGGTGGGGGCGACGATCATCTGCGATCGCGTCGAAGTACGCGTTACTTGTCAGCCGGTTGTCGCTATGAAAAAGTCAGGGTCATTACCAGGCTATCGTCAGAAACGGAATTGGGCATGCCAAGTGACATGCTTTGAACAACTGCCAATGTTGCCACTTTGCGCTCTGTTATTGATCATAATGGTATGGACAAACAGTCTCAGAATGTTCGTTGCCAAACAATTAAGATGCCAAGTTAATCGCAATATTTCACGAAAAGTAGACGTTAAACGTCCGTTTGGTCCTATAGCACACGCTTCATGAAGCAGTTCCCGGGGCTTCTTGCGATCTCAGCTCACGAGCGATCGGGTAGAGTTGTTCGGTTGATTTAGGGGGTTTTGACTTGGGAGGCTACGTACCGGTGATCCCGGCTACTGGAGCATCGTTATAGACAGCTCATGGAGTGGAACATCAATCCAGACATATCTGGGAGATCAGTGACGACAGCAGGCGATGGCAGCTCCCCTCAATACACGGCGTCGGAGTATGAAACACCAGCCGCACTGAGCGTTATGACCAGCGCCATCAGGTCCGCCGTCAATCTCCGCTAGACGTGCGACCGTGTTCTAACGACACTCTTGACCGCAGAACTACACACGAAACCGCACGCCACATGACGTCACGTGACGTCACGTGACGTCGATCGGTGGTGACGTGTGACGCTGGTGGTGCGAGCGTCGCTCGTCACGTCACACTGACGTCACCCGCCGGTGACGTCAGCAGTCGTGGTCGCGTCGGCGTGAACACCGTCCCAGCCCATCCCTTATCTATGCTCCGTCTTACATCTCCCCCACCCGCCCCCCGGTCGCCGCCCGTCTGTCCGACGCCCTTCTGCGGGCGGGAGATGACCCATCGTGCGACCCACCAAAATTAGCCGCCGCGTCAAGCACGGCCGTGTCAAAGGTCACCGTTCGGTGGCGTTCTCCGGGGTCAGCCGCCAACGGCCGGTGCGTCGCAAGTTTCTGAAGGCCGTCGCCGGCCGCGCCTGCGACCGCAGAATTATTCATCCGGCGACGACCCCTGGGAGCGGCCGTCGTAATTCGCACCGACGCCGGCCGAGCTCGGGGCGTGGCCATGATCGGGCTGTGGTCGGCCCGGTGTCTGACGGCGGCCGCGTGGGCTCCGAGCTCGGGGCGTGGTCATGATCGGGCTGTGGTCGGCCCGGTGTCTGGCGGCGGCCGCGTGGGCTCCGAGCTCGGGGCGTGGCCATGATCGGGCTGCGGTCGCCTCGGTGTCTGGCGGCGGCCGCGTGGGCTCCGAGCTCGGGGCGTGGCCATGATCGGGCTGCGGTCGGCCCGGTGTCTAGCGGCCGCGTGGGCTCCGAGCTCGGGGCGTGGCCATGATCGGGCTGCGGTCGGCCCGGTGTCTAGCGGCCGCGTGGGCTCCGAGCTCGGGGCGTGGCCATGATCGGGCTGCGGTCGGCCCGGTGTCTGGCGGCGACCGCGTGGGCTCAGAGTCGAGGGTGTGCTGGTTTTTGCGTTGATTGTGTGCGCGGTGAGGCCTAGATGGTGTTTATGTTACGATGGAGTCGGCGTTGGGGTGATGACGGCGTTAATGGCGTTTTGGTCGCCCGGTTTGCGGATGTATTCTGGAGATATGTTGGTCACGCAGTACTATTTGCTGAATTCCGTCCTTACCACCACTGCAGGGCAATTTCAAACCAGCTGGCAGGTTTTATCCAAATATTTCAAAGTACCGCATACGTGTCTCCACCCCAGCGTAGCACTCTTGCTCAAATGTCTGCAGGCCCTCACTGACTAGTTACACCAGCACTGCTCCTGGCAACCGGACCTCGCACGCGTGCCGCACAGCGACCACGAGTCCATTGTCTGCTTAAGTGAGTTGCGGGAGCGAAGGACGGTTTGCGTGTTGCTCATGATAACGTTAACGTGCCTGTTTGCAGGTCGCCCGGAGCCACGGGTCACGTGGTCCCGTGACGACCTCCTATTGGACGACTCGGACGGACCGGACGGGTCAGGCCAGGTCATCAACGTGCTGCGACTGGCTCCTCTGGGTCGCGAGGACCTGCACACCCGGCTGGTCTGCTCGGCGACCAATAACAACATCAGCCGACCGGTCACCACCCAGGTCGTCCTCGACATGTACTGTGAGTGGTCCGGCTAATGATGACGTCACATATCGACATGTACTGTGAGTGGTCCGGCCCGTAATGACCTCACATGTCGACATTTACTGAGTGGTCAGGCCCGTAATGACGTAACATATCAGCATGTACTGTGAGTGGTCCGGCTCTTGATGACGTCACACATCGGAAAGGGCACTATGTGGCGGCACGTCACGAAAATCCCGGACGTCATCCGGTATGTTTATCCGCTGAGACGAGCCACACATGGGGGATACATTTTGTCTTAAAGAGGCCACGGACCATGAAGCCACGGTCAAGCTGCTACGACATCACTGAAATGAAGTGTTGAAGAGACATCGACGAGAGCAATGGTGCGTCACCAAACGTTGTCGCCTTAACTTTATGATGATGATAACGCTCACTTGCACGTCTTTAGGTCCTGAGACGAACACGGACTATCCCCATTAGGCAGCGTTTGACTGCGTGATTGCTGGTACATTCTGAAATGATGTAACAGCCATCATGCTTGAAAGCAGAGGCCATCACATATCATGTCGAAATAACAACACCATACATCACACGTTGACGACATAAGTTTAGGTTAGACAATTGTTATGGCGTAAACCATATCTAGTCATACATTTGAAACAGCGCACTTTCGGACAGCCCCCGCTGCTCTACGTCACATTGGCATTAGGTACGCACTGTGAGTCGTTAAAGACAACATAAGCATACAGCACCACACCTTCCGGCGCCAAGGCAAAAATCAGTGTCCGTGTTATGAGTCAACGTTGACGACTTTTTGCCCACCACATGTTTGATGGCGTCTCAGCGTGATAACAGGATTACACAAAGGGTATCTTCGAACTGTAAGCCGCGTCCGTCGGTTAGTCACCGGACGTCGCTGTCACCAGCCGGTCTGGGCTCAGTGGTAGCAGCGCCTGTAAGCCACGTCCGTCGGTTAGTCACCGGACGTCGCCGTCACCAGCCGGTCTGGGCTCAGTGGTAACAGCGCCTGTAAGCCACGTCCGTCGGTTAGTCACCAGACGTCGCCGTCACCAGCCGGTCTGGGCTCAGTGGTAGCAGCGCCTGTAAGCCACGTTCGTCGGTTAGTCACCAGACGTCGACGTCACCAGCCGGTCTGGGCTCAGTGGTAACAGCGCCTGTAAGCCACGTCCGTCAGTTAGTCACCGGATGTCACCGCCACCAGCCGGCCTGGGCTCAGTGGTAACAGCGCCTGTAAGCCACGTACGTCGGTTAGTCACCAGACGTCGACGTCACCAGCCGGCCTGGGCTCAGTGGTACAGCGCCTGTAAGCCACGTCCGTCGGTTAGTCACCGGACGTCGACGTCACCAGCCGGTCTGGTCTCAGTGGTAACAGCGCCTGTAAGCCACGTCCGTCGGTTAGTCACCGGACGACGCCGTCACCGGCCGGCCCGGGTTTGCCTGTAACCGCGCCTGCTCATTGGTAGGCAGCGCCACGGCGTCGGCGACCGATTCCCGACGGCGCGCCCGCCGCCGCAGCGCCGCTCCAGCGCGACCGGCCGGCGTCGATCGCCGGTCGTGATTTGGCAGTCGCGTCCCGCATTGTTATTGCAGTTGAGGCGGGCGGTCGTTTGTTCTCCTGTGACCGCATAGTTTGGCGCACAAACACGCGACGCCGGAATTAGCGCGTCACGGCCGCGCGCCGCGCCCAATGAGCGTAACACGTGCAGTGAGAAGCGAGAGTCGTGACGCGTCGGTGCGGAGCTGCTAGCCGACGGAGCACGATTACCGGACAAAGTTTTGCTGCGAAGTGAGTCGTGGTGAAGTGCTCTGGAGTCACGATCATCAGGGATTCGTGTGACTGCGGGTAAACAATGCTCGCTTTAAGTAGCTATGAGCTTTTGGGTGGTGTGCTTTGCCCCTCGCGCTGAGTCACTGTTTTTCAAGCTTGGTGTGTTGATGCTTGCCGGTATTTGTTTACGGTTCCGTTGAATCGACCTGCGAAGAGTTACGGGCACGGCTCAGCGGAACACATGTGCGACGCTATGGGTGGCGGGCTGGCGCGCGAGGAGTTGCGTCGCCTTGCCGGCTCCTCGAATACTCAGGTCACTGAAAACTGTGTCAGGGTGTTGTGCAGGGCAGAGGACGCTGACCGCGTGCACAGCTGGGATCGTTCACTATTTATATATATATATATATATATATATATATATATATATATATATACTTAAGTGGAAAGAACAAGCAAAGCAAGCCGTCGAATTCCGCGCTTCTCCCTCACCATGTTTCGCGGAAGAGATCCCACATAGCTGGAGAGTGCTGAGGAAAGTTGGTGTGGCAAAGCTTCCGAAATGAGCGTCTTTCAACGCGCGAAATGTTAAAATGACGCTAATTGCAACGAAAGTTGGCGTTGCCACCGTCAAACCAGTCGCAGCATAATTGTCTGTTCGGTACTCGCTGTTCACCGATGCTCTCTACCACCCGCGAGGACACCCTGTCTGGCTTGTCCTCGCCGCCGTTGTTCACACCGCGCCGTCGGCGCTCGGCACCTGACCGGCCGGCGGCGGTGACCGACAGTGATCCCCGACCGGCCGGCGGCGGTGACCGACAGTGACCCCGACCGGCCGGCGGCGGTGACCGACAGTGACCCCCGACCGGCCGGCGGCGGGTGACCGACAGCGGTCTCTGACCGGCCGGCGGTGATGACCGACAGTGGTCTCTGACCGGCGACGGTGATGACCGACAGTGGCCGCTGACCGGCCGGCGGCGGTGACCGACAGCGGTCGGCCTTGACCGACCGCCCGACGCTGTTCCAGTTCGGCCCCTGAGCGTCACCATTCTGGGCTCGGCCCGCGCGGCCACGCTGGCCGGCCAGTCCGTACGAGCTGGTGTGCCAGGCGTACGGCTCGCGGCCGCCGGCTAACCTCTCCTGGTGGATGGACGGCGCCGCGCTGGACGGCGGTCGGACGGTGAGCGGGCCACGGGGCCGACCTGCACGCGCCAGTGATGCCGTCGCCCAGAGGCTGGTTATTGCTGCTCATGCCATAACTGGGGCCATTTGTACTGCTGGGTGTTTGCTCAGTGCGTATTACTGACGCCCGCAATTTTGCTCATAGTCTTAAGAGTACAGTGTTTTTGGAGCTAAGTAGAAGAGTCTGATACGCACCATACATATTTATTGACGTAACGTTGTATTTTCCTTTGTTTGCTTTTCGTTTTCCATCAATCTCTTCTAGATTTGCAACAGACCAATTTTCCAAGAATAATTTCCATTGTGCTTGCCTCTGAGCTGCATTATGAGATAATTATGTTTGTAATAAATGGGCTAGGGGAGTGTGGGTGTAAATCCTGCCTGATTTAGTTTTACATTGCTCAGCCAGCGCTTCATAAACATACTTAGTTTAAAACAATATCCAGCGTGTCTCACATGCTGGCACAAAAGAGAGTTGGTTGAAATTGATAATTTAAAAAATGATTGCTTTCAAAACTTGCATGGTGTTTGCGGTCGCAGTTCATAAACTGGCTGTTGTTTCCTGGCGTGAAACACATAGTTTTGCAGGGCGATGTCGAAATACCTCCGCACATTGTCATCCACTCGAATTTTGTCGCGGTACTTAATAGGAAGTCCATCCCGTGCGGTTCAATGGATTCACAGCAGACTTTGCAAAACAACAATCGAGGATTACTTGTCGAATCGGTGATTGCTTTGTTTGATATTGGAATGATTCCCGACTCGCGTTGCCACGTTGGAAACTGTTAAGCCGGATTCGAGTAGTTGACTTATAAACATCAAGCTGTTCCTGTCCCTCTGCCACTTGGGCGTCAGCTCGTTCTAGGCTTATGCGATATCAACCGTGGTTCGTCCTATTGCATTTGAAGGGAAAGATCGAAACGAAAATCGAGCCATCCCTCAAATAAGTAGGTCGGAGGATCAATTAAACCGGTCATTCGTTCTTGGACGCGCGCGCTTTGGTGACTTGACTTTGCCGGACAAACATCGTCAATATTATTGTTGCGTTATGGCCATTGACACCTTCAGAATGCATAATCGGTACATGGTATGCCTATTGATTCACTCCCTAGCTCTTGGTGCATGACATGTCTACGTATCCCTCTCTTTCGGCAGGAGTCCGGACTGGGCAACATCACCAGCAGCACGCTGCCCTTCAAGCCGCGCCCCACCGACAACGGCAGGGAGATCACGTGCAGGGCGGAGAACAGCTTAGTCTCCGGCGGTACGATCGAGGATAAGAGGCTGCTCAACGTCAGGTGTAAGTAGAGAACGACCGCCGGCTTACGTGGTCTGACGTCCTCTGCTTACAAGGTAGACGTTGTGGCGATGCGTGCCTACACATTATGCAGCGAGGGGACATATCTGAATCACATTATCTACGCATTATTCACCACGGCACATATCGTGTAATGCTGCGAGCTGGCATCATACGATAGGTGCCAACACACATGATAGCGATTGCAATGTGTTGCTAATATCATAAAATTGCAACGACGCCCACATGTTTCATTTCACACTCAGTTTACCGCACAAATTGTTGCTAAAATGGTGTTGGGATAGAGTTTCCTGTCAAACACGCTTTACTGTGCGGCACTAACGCCGTTGATCAATGAACATTGCCCGATTATCTATGGACACCGATCAATGATCATTATCAGAAACGCGTCTTCAATCAATGTTCCCGGATCCGGAGCCTTTCATCAAGTGCTTTGGTGACATTTGTAATCTATGGATGGGATCCGTGCATGTTACCTAAATGTGCTGGAAAGTATCCACTGCTACGGAGGGACAATGCTGTATGTCTTGCAGTATTCACAGAATTATGCGTAATGTCGGTTTCCTTAAGCTGATATAGCGTGACAAAGTAGAAATGACGACTAGATCCGGAATCAATAGAGCTGGTTTAGCTGTCGCTACCACCTACAGCGATATGCCGGCAATGTCCAGCTGTGGTTTACTCTCTAGCTGGATAGAACACTATCACAGTGTTATTTGCATGGTCTGTCTTCCGAATCGATGCCTTTATGTGGCTCATTTCAGACATTTGCAAGCTGTTAGCTCATCTCTGTTAACTGCGAAAAAGGTGGTAACGATTCGCCAATCTCCTCCTGGTAACATGCGTCTACACCTGAAGCACGATTCCACACCCCAAAACTATGGTCTTGTAGACCCTCGATTTCATAACGATTCCAAGTGTGCTACCCACGCCCGCAGCTGGCGTCGTGGTGGTTTTGGAGTGTGTTGGATAGCCAGGACGCTGCCGCTCCCGGTTTAGACACTAGACAGCCCCCTCCTCTCCCCGGAAGCTCCCTTTGGAGCCTTCCCGGTCACCGCCGCAGAGCCGCGCGCTCACCCATCTGGGCCCCGAGGCATTGTAACGAGACATATCCATCTCCATCTTGCCATGCGCGCCTCCGGCGACGGTGGCCGGGCCGGCGCCGCGTTCGCGCCATTACTCCGATTGGGCGCGAGACCGGTCCGGGCTCAGGAGCGCGCCGCGCCCCCGAGTGCGATCGCTCATCTCAGCCCCTCGGCGACCGTTTGTCCCGCCTGTTTGCATACTGGAAACTTTATAATGGCCGTCTCGCAGGGGTCGGCTTTTTGTGTGGGTGGGCGCTGAAGCACGGAACTTTCTATGTAGATGCTATTTTCTGCGAGGCAGCGCTAAATGCGGCAGTTTATGGACGGTATGGTGTTTTACATGCTGACTGCTTCGAAATTTATCGATCTCTAGGATGTTCCTGACCCGGTCGCAAACTTACTCTTGTTTGCCAATCAGCTTACAAGCGAGAGGCGTAACGGTACGAGGAGTGTGCCTGGAGGTCTCAGCTGGTTCCACCGGATGTGTTCTACTTGAATTGTACTGTGTGCAGTAAAAGAACACAAAAAACGCGCTCAAAAGTTACCAAGCACAGCCTCCTGCGACCCCTGTGATTGTTGCGCTTTTTTCGGCGGGGAGCAATAGGCATTTTCTTTCGCATTGTCTGCAAGTGAATAATTAATGAGCACGTGAAACGGTCCCAGATACGTCAAACACATTCTAGAACACACTGTATTTTCTTGATTTCTGCGAGAGAGGGTGAGGATACTCTGTCGATGGCCGTTGAGCTTCGATGTGACCACAAAAGAAGAAAAACAAGGATTGTTGACATCCGAATGGCTTCCCAAAAGTGGAGGGAAGGTGAGGCAGTCCCGATCTTTAAAATAGGCAACTGAAAGTCCCCAGCGAGCTGTTGCCCAGTGGGCTTTACTGCTGTTTCCTCCAATGCGCTTGAATTTTTGTCAAAGACGCACTAATGAAACACTTAACGGAGATCGGACTCCTTCATGTAGCCCAACAAAGATTCCTCCCGAAGCGTTTCTGTAACACCCAGCTATTAGAAGTCATGACAGATTGAAGCTCCGCGGTTGGGACGGGGTGCCGGTGGACGTAGCGTACCTCAACTTCTATAAAGCATTCGACTCTCTACCCCAGAACCGACTGCTCTCTAAGCTCCATGCGTACGGTACGCGAGGCAACTTGCTGCGTTAGATCAGGGCCTTCCTAACTCACAGGAGGCAGAGAGTACGAGTCCTGGGCTGGAGGTCGGATTCGGTCGATGTCATCAGCGGCATCCCACAAGGGTCAGTTTTGGGACCAACGCTCTTCATCGCTTTCGTGAACGGCCCACCTGATCAAGTGCAAAGCGCGGTCAAGATGTTGGCGGATGACATAAAGGTGTGCTGTCGCGTTCCGAGGCCCCTGACTGCGTCTCCTCTTTATGTCGACCTTGGTGGAGGAGTGGCTGCTTTATTCGATCTATCAAAGTGCAAAGTAATAGACATCGGCACCTGCGGCTGGTCAGTCTAGATGGCTGGTCAGATATGCTTCACTGAAAATACATATTCTTTGAGAAAACCTCAACTGCAAAAGCAGGAAGCATTGTCATTGAGAACTCGAGCAAGCTTGTCGAATACCAGCCATGAATATCTAAAGCTGCAATTTTCCAGCAAACGTTCAGCGCATTTTCTCGCTGGTGTTGGGGCTGATTGGGTACACTCAGCATGTGTTTGGCACTCAGTCAATAGCACCACTTGAAACCTCGGTCGCTATTCAGACCACTCACTGCAGAGCGGCTGTGGCTGCCAGTCTCGAATAAAACGCGTTTTTTTCTGAAAGCGGTTTCGTGCCTCACTTTGCGTATTTGACTGCCGAACGCCAAAATATCCGACACAGTTGCAGCAGACGTTTACTTGTCGCTACTTTTTTGCCCCCAACATTTCAACAATATGATAACGATTATATTTTTCATCAGGTGGCTGTCGAGAAGCCCATCTGAGGCTGTTTTTCCAAACGGTAGCGCTATCCGCGAACATGCACTGCTGCACACGGTCCAGCGGAGACTGCATCCTCTGACTGGTGGTGGCGCGATGGGTGACGTGGGTGGCCAGAGCGGGTGACGCCGACCGTGCCGTCCCCCTCAGATGCGCCGATCGTGGCCGTGAGACTCGGCTACGCTCTGGACCCGGACGACATCAAGGAGGGTGCCGACGTCTACTTCGAGTGCCTGATCCGGGCCAACCCGGCCGTCTACAGCGTCGTCTGGTCACACGACGTGAGTAGCCGCGGTCCGGCGCAGCGTGTCAGTCTCGTGGTTCTCCGCCTCGCTTTATGATGCAGGCAGGCAGCCTCAATAGGACGTGTAGAGAGAAGTCTTAAAGCTCACCTGCTCCCTAGCGTTCGCGTCGCAGTACTTGGACCTTGTCTTTAGACTATACCCACGTCGGGTGCGCACTGTGGGGCATGCTAGATGATGTGATCGCAGGCGTCCACGTGGGTATTGCTGGGTCACTTCCTGCGCCAACGCATTCACTTCAGCTCCTCGCACACTTCGACTTCATTCCGCTTCACCTCGCCTCACTTCACTTCGCGGTGAATCACATGTCAGGCGACGTAACCATGAGGCTGGTGAGCTAAACCCAGCAATGCTTTGCCTGTCACTTTAATCCTACGAAATGTTTCCCCTTCGCCCAACGAATGGGGCCTTAGAGCCCCCCCCCCCCCCTGAGATCACGAAAGCTGATAAAATCTACACACCTGTGTAAGGCTATGAGAAAAGCACGAGTGAATATCCATACATTTGACTTGTAATATGTCGTTCTAGGTTCAATACGTGAAGGTAATTATTTCAATGGCCCTTCAGCTGTACCAGGGATTAAATACGCCACATGAGTGAAAACTTGATGAAAAGATATAAGCAAAAGTTTGACCTAGCATGACCTTGAATTTCCGTTCTTTAAAAAAACAACCGGGACGCTAGTTTTACATTACAGGGTGTTAAAAATTAGAAAAGGAGTCTAGAAAACCGCTTCGGCATGCCTTTCCCGCGATAAATAGGTTTACTTGCCTTTTCTAAGCGAAATGTCACCAACGCGACGCCGGGGAGAAGGTCATAAGGCACGAACAGTAGGGGTCGAAACCTTAAAATGCTTCTAACACTCTAAAAATGATTCAATGCAGGAGCCCAATATTCCAGCACTGTGCTCTAAACCATTCATAGATTATTCCGGGAAACCGCGGGGGGGAGGTCTCGGCCTGCATCGTAGGGCGAGAGTATGTCCTCGCTCTGATGGCGACTGCGAGTCGGCGAGAGTATCTCCTCACCCTGATGGCGACTACGAGTCGGCGAGAGTATACCCCCGCCCTGACGGAGATTGGGAGTCGGCGAGAGCATGCCTCCGCCCTGACGGGGATTGGGAGTCGATGCAACTCACGCGAAAGGTTTTCTCGAGATATCTCTCCGGCCTGTCGTGCAATCATATCCAAATTTCTGGTAGCCTCTGGGGCATTCATTGCGAATCTTTGACACGATAAACATCTCAATGGCCTTTCTGGTTTCTGAAAAGCGATGGTTTTTTAGGAATACTGCACGGCAATCCACGCTCGGCGCGGGTGGCGAGCGGCAACGGACGATTCCACCGATCGCGTGCGGAGGCCCGTCGCTATCACTGTGCGCCACAAAACACATGCGGATCCCCCGTCGCTATCATTGTGCGTCACAAAACACATGCGGATCCCCATCGCTATCATTGTGCGCCACAAAACACATGCGGATCCCCGTCGTTATCACTGTGCGCCACAAAACACATGCGGATCCCCGTCGCTATCACCGTGCGCCACAAAGTACATGCGGATCCCCCGTCGCTATCACTGTGCGCCACAAAACACATGCGGATCCCCGTCGCTATCACTATGCGCCACAAAACACATGCGGATCCCCGTCGCTATCATTGTGCGTCACAAAACACATGCAGATCCCCGTCGTTATCATTGTGCGTCACAAAACACATATCGATGTACTAAAAACTAAACGTGGAACACGTGCGCAAGTGTCACACTGCGACGTGGCATGGTTTCATAAATATTGGCACGTGAACCGGAAACGGTTCGATCCTACGAAAAAAACGCTTGACCTGGACTAGTTGTGTTAATTAATGACACAGCAAAAGGACGTGCATGATTAATCACGCAATTCCGTTGAGACCAATCCACTAACTTTTCCGAGGCTACATCTTTCTAAGTTTGAAAACAACAGGTGGGGATGGGGCGCATCACCCCTCCCCCTCCCCCTATCAGTCCGTTTAATGAAAAACTGCGAATCAGGGCGATGGTAAATTGACTCCAAGCTACTTCCATTCATGAAAGTAACTTGTCTTCTATGGGAGAGAGGCATGTCATCTAGAGTTATGCTTTTGCTCTCTCAGTGAGGGCGGAAATACTCTGAAAACATTCTAGTACACGTTGTTTTATGATACACCTCAAACACCCTAAAAAGCGAGAAGTCTTTGTCCTCTCTGAAAACATGTGATCAGCCAGTCAGTCTTATGAAACCCTGCTCTAGCTTGGCATACTCTTAACATGCCCTTAATGGATAACTAAAAACCTGTCTGTAGCACTCAAATGCCACCAGTCACTGGTCATCTTTCAACTACTTCTCTCCCTTTCACAGAGAATGTAGCGCGGTAAGCGCGTCGTATCCAGCTGTTGTTCCGCCTCACGTGATTAGCCAGAGGCAGGGGTGGGGTCCGCTTGGGGTCTGAGCTCGTGGGCAGTACCTTACTCAGCCCCGTCGAGCGGAACGCTCGCTCGAGGCGAGGCGGGAGTGGGAAGTTGGTGGAGGCTGATGCGGCCGCCCCCGTCCAGCGAGATGTGCTTTTGTTAGCGATGGCTCTCAGCGTGGGTGCGACGGCGTGGCTTGGTGCGATAGGCCGGTGGGACAGGTGAAGCAGGATCATCCGAGCATCATCACCAGATGGCACGGGGATGATCTGAAGAAAAGTGTAACAGCCATTGGTAGGACATACTCTCTTTAGAGAAAGATATGGAAAGACCAATTTAAGTGTTGTGTCTCAAGTTACCATGAAAAAACTCGCACCCACGCCAGGTTCCTTCAGGGGTAGCGCTGGTCGCGACCTTTGGGTTATTTGCTGGCGCAGTTTTACGTGTCGATGGCTGGCTGTTAAATAAAAACGTTGTAATTGTTCCCCGCGCGCCGGACATGTGGCGGTACACATGTGAACCCCGTTTTCGTCTGTGTCGGCAGGAGAGGCCGGTGCGGCCGAGCCCGCGCGCCGGCGTCAGCGACATGGTCAGCATCAACGAGCGCCGCCTGGTGATCCGCAACCTGAGCCGCCGCTCGGCCGGCGCGTACCGGTGCCGGGCGGCCAACCCGGAGGGCGAGGCTGCTGGCCGGCCCGTCCACCTCAGCGTCAAGTGTGAGTGGGCGGCGGGGTCGCGGTGGCGGGGGGAGGGGGGGGGCGATCCGACGTCACGGGCGACGCCGGACGCGGGCCTGACTGTGACGCGGCGACGGCTCTCGGGGGTTCGTCCGCTCGCGCTGATATGTAGCAAGTTACCGACGCGTGCCGGCCGATGTGGAAACAACGCAAACTTCCGACGATCACCCGTCGACCAGAAGTCATTTATGTTGTACGACGGCCTGCCCCAGGGCGTTTGATATTGTTGTAACAGCAGTGTACGGTGAAGCTTGTTTCTGTTCTACAAACAGACATCAAGGCCCTAGCCTCAGTTGTGACAAAAGTGAACCAGGATGGGAGTCGCTAGGGTTTTGACTGGAACGTTCGCCTCCTTTTCATAAAAAAGGCGGTCAGAATGTAACCTCAGTTGTACGAGTCAGCCCCAGAAGGCTTGCCTCTGTTGTATCAGCACTCTGTTGGCGCGGTCGTCTCTGCTGTACCGGCGGCTCACGGGACCTTGTCTCCGCTGAGCGCAGGCGGTCTGTCAGCCCCCTCCTCCGTGCTGTACCGGCGGCCCGCGGGACCCTGTCTCCGCTGGGCGCAGGCGGTCTGTCAGCCCCCTCCTCTGTGCTTTACCGGTGGCCCGCGGGTTTCCGCTGGTCTCAGGTGATCTGTCAGCCCCTCCTCAGCGTTGTATCAGCGTCCCGCAGTACCCCCTCTCCACTGGTCACAGGCGGTTTGTCAGTCCGTTCCTCCGCGTTGAACCGGCGGCTTGCAGGATCCTGTCTCCGCTAGTCACAGGCGGTTTGTCAGCCCGCTCCTCCGCGTTGTACGGGAGGCTTGCAGGCTCCTGTCTCCGCTGGTCACAGGCGGTTTGTCAGCCTGCTCCTCCGCGTTGTACCGGCGGTCTGCAGGACCCTGTCTCCGCTGGTGGCAGACGGTCTGTCAGCCCGCTCCTCCACGTTATACCAGCTGTGGACCGGAGCGTTCGTTTATATTGTATCGACGCATTGACGGCAGGGGGAGGGGGGGGGGAGCTTGTCCCGGTGGTGTTGGCAGCTTGACAAGCGCGGCGCTGCCCCCGTCGGCCTGCGCTTCGGTGACGGGGTCAATGTCTCTCCGACTAATGGTCCGCTGATCGATCGCCATCCTGAGGACGGCCGAGCGGCTGAGCATTCCGGCCACTTCCTCACCGCATCCTGAGGACGGACCAGCGGCCCGAACAAACCCGAACACCTCCTCACCGCATCCTGAGGACGGACCAGCGGCCCGAACAAACTAAACACTTCCTCACCGCATCCTGAGGACGGCCCAGCGGCTGAACAAACCGACCATCCCCTCACCGTATTCTGAGGACGGACCAGCGGCCCGAACAAGCCTAACACCTCCTCACCGCATCCTGAGGACAGCCCAGCGGCCGAACCAAACCGACCATCTCCTCACGGTTACTCTAAGGACGGACCAGCGGCCGAACAACCGAACACCTCCTCACCTCACCGCATCCCGAGGACGCCCCAGAGAGCTAAAAAAAAACGAAACACCTCCTCACCGCATCCTGAGGACGCCCCAGCGGGTGAAAACCCGACCACCTCCTCACCGCATCCTGAGGACGCCCCAGCGGGTGAAAACCCGACCACCTCCTCACGGCTACCTTCCGCACATGAATTGTACCGCGCTGGTGAATTTGATGATGGCAGCATAGCACCTGAACGCTTGTTGATTGTGTGTGTTGTCCCTGCGAATTTATTAATACATTATATAAGTGTTAATGTTAACCCTTTATGTATTGAAGATGGGTGTTGTTTTGATTGGAATTTTTGGTTTCTGAGGTTCATTAACCTATGGCTTTAAATTCAAAATAACTTTTTAATTTCCGTTATTGCGGAAATTCAGCGTACGTACGTTCCTCAAACTTCACTCAAACTCAAACCCATGTATATGTTGCAAGGCTTCACGTAGCACTAGACGTTTACGCCAACTTGAACTGGCTTTTGTTAACTGTAGCGATCGCAGACAAGTTGGAAAGATATCTTAACTACATGCCACATACCTTTTACATATATAGCGTACCTTTTGTGAGAAAAGTTGCTATAGAAACTTGTGGCCAGGTGTTCTCAGGCCGGTATTGACTGGCAAATATGTTTATGGGATCATTTAATGGCTCCTCAGTCAGATTTTACGATACCGTTCGATAAAGAACCAGTTGCAAAAATATATAACCGCGGTGTAATGTGCGCCTCGGAGATTCCACTTACGGGGTACCCCAGGTGAACACCAAAGCACGAACAGTCACTGGGGTGTTAGCTCGTAGTCTTGCTCCTCCCAAAATTATACGGTGATGCTTTTCTTGCCTGTATCCTATATGTCCACCTGGCAGACCGACCATGACGGTTTAAAATAAAATCAACAGCCTTCGGCCTCACGACTCATAAGACCGTTTAGCTGACCTCAAGGTCTCCGATGACGCTGCAGGTCACGTCAAACTGTAACATTGTGATGAATCTGTGAGCACTTGTTATTTGTGAGCGGCAGATCATTTTGAGTGCTCTGAGTCATAAATCACACGTATGTGTTACGCCATGTGCAGACGAACGAATCGCGTCTGGATGAATGACCTTAGGTCACTGTAGCCCATGCCGAAAAGAAGGCAAATCGTTCGATAGACCAGCATAAAGTGTCACTTATGATGAGTGGTGCGCATTTTACCAAAGTGCCAATATCGTCATTGTTTTCAAATTATCTCGTCATTGCTCAGGTGAGGACCATTGCTAAGCCTGGATTTTGATGTTCAGGTTTAGTGGCGCCTCGGCCATGCCGTTCACTCGCATCCATTACCATTGTACATGATATTCAGATGTTTCGGTGTTAATTGACTATCTTTGCGATCTACATGCTTCTGCCGTCACTAATTTGTAATTTGTCAGAAACAAAGTGATCCGGATTTTCTGCAGTAATTGTGCAATTCTTGCTAAAAATAGTTTCTACGAAGGGAGTAATCCCAACACTCCAAGATACCAATGCCACTTTCAGCGACGACTTGAGTCGGTAGCTTTAACGCGGCGCTTAATGCCGTGCCATGGCCGCTCCCCATCTCAGCTTGACTCTCTACAAGCCGTTGTCAACTTATCAGCGTAGAAAACTTGACTGAGCTCTGGTCTCTTGTACTTAGCCCGCCGCCTTTGCTGTTGTTGCTACAGGGGAGCGATTCATTTTTGGACGCGTCCAACATTGTAAAGCCTTCTTTATGTTAGCGTTGTGGAAAGCAACACGCATTTCATAACCTATGACGCAATATATGGACTAGATAAGACTAACCGGGCTGGGAGCATCTTGAAAGACTTTACCTTCCCTTAGTTAATTGTCAACTCTGACGTCCTGGAACGGTTTGATGAAGCACAGTGTCGTTAACGCGAACACGCGCGTCTGGCGCACAGTGGTCAGGTTTTCGACGATGGCGCCTTATCGACTGAGTTTGGTGACGGCTGGAATCAATTAAGGTTACTGAGTGCAGGCGTGCGGTCGACTCCGGCTCGAGTCGACTGAGTTTGGTGCCGGCCGGAATCACCAAGGTTGCCGAGTGCAGGTCTGCGGTTCGACTCCGGCTCGAGTCGCAGTTGTGTCCAGAATCACCGTAAGTTCGGAATCACTGGACGTCAGTCGCATTAGTTGGAATTGACCCCCAACAAAAATGCTTGAGTCGGATTTAGAGTTCAGTAAGTTATGTAGGCTAAAACCATCACTAAATCAGCTCATGGACCTTGAGATAAGAAAGGAAGGCCATCAGCTCAAGGTTTTTCGTCATCATGAGTTAAAAGCGCTTACGTTAAGTCTACACGCGGCGAGGAGGAGCAATTTGCTATGTGAAGGTTTTTGCAGAATAACTTCCGAACGGCGCCATACGGCTGCGCCAAACTATGCCTAACTGTAGGCAATTTAGTGGCAGATATTTTGTCTTCAAAAATTGGATATTCCTTGTAAGGTCAGTGACATGGCAGGCTAATGTCAGACAAGTGGCTGTCAGCGGAGGCAATTTTAGCAGTGGCTCAATGTAGTGCGACAACGGAATGTTAGATATCTGAGATGATTTCTTATGCCAAAAAGAAATATTTGAATTTAGAATTACCGCACATTAACTGATCTGGAGTCAGGATGAAGATTATGCCGAGGTCAAAACTAACCTATTGTTTACTGGAAAGCTTGCTTTGTGGAGTAGTTTCTGATGCTCGTTTATTAAGTTTTTGATAACAGGGACCGCAACAGACATCTTCATTGACCTGCTTGAAGTTCGGAGTAGGTCACTGACCTAAAAAAACCCAGATCAACCCTTTCGCTTTTGAGAACGTACCGTCTAACGTAGAAAAGTGAAAACAATCTGGTAGGTTTTTCGTCAACATGACCTTCTAAGCGCAAACAAGGTCGCCAATCTAAATAAGCACCACCGACTTTGCTTTAACCAGTTATCTAGGGCTCAGCAAGAGTTTTAAAGCAGTTGTATGAGGAGGTATGGGAGCACCTTGAAGACCAACATTGAGTTTGACCTTATTCGACATTGTTTGACTCAAGGTAATAATCTATGCATCTCATTTTTTTTTTACAAAAGTGAGTTCATATGCAGAGCAACTTATTCTGTGAATATGGTATATATAGACCCCAGTTGTTTGTTTCGAGGGATCAAATTAACCCCCCACCCGAGCGAGTAGCATTGAACCGGCCACCCGGGCGCGTGTGAACGGTCTTCAATATACCGGAAGACACTGTTTAAACAACATCGTATATAGTGCTAAATCACGGTTATATTGACAGTTTCCAATATTTTGAGCTGTGCTCATCACCAAGAGTGACTATGTCACTCTGACTGTCGTTGACTATGCCTTTGAATATGACCATATGTCTGGTATGTCAGCGGCCACAGTAAGAAATATTGAGTAGAGTCAATATCATCGTTGTGCAACATTACAAAGTCGCTTCGCCAGTGCCTCTTGGTATATTGAAGGCCGTTGACTAGGTATAAGAGCTTC